CGGGGGGCCCCTGGTCCCCCACTGTCGCGTCTGGGGGGCTCTGGTCACTCACTGGTCACTCACTGACCAGTCTGGGGGGCTCTGGTCACTCACTGGTCACTCACTGGTCACTCACTGACCAGTCTGGGGGGCTCTGGTCACTCACTGGTCACTCACTGGTCACTCACTGACCAGTCTGGGGGGCTCTGGTCACTCACTGGTCACTCCCACTGACCCTTGCTCACTTCTTGACCACCCCAATGACCCCTTGACCCCTCCCTTGACCCCCTCACTGACCACTGGTCACTCCTTGACCCCTCACTGACCCCTGAGTGACCCTGAGTGACCCCTTGACCCCTGAGTGACCCCTGAGTGACCCCTGAGTGACCCTGAGTGACCCTGAGTGACCCCTGAGTGACCCTTTCCCCTCCCCCGCAGTTCCTGTGTGACCCCTCGGCCCTGGGCAGTGTCCGGCAGGGCCTGGAGGCCGCGGGGCTCCGGCCGCTCTCGGCCGCCGTCGAGTTCCAGCCGCGGTCACCTCTGACCTTGGCCGAAGGTCCCAGGACGGCGGCCGGACGGCTCCTGGACGCTCTGGCCGAGCGGCCGGACATCGTCCGGCTCTTCCACGACATCGACCAGTGGCCGGAGGACGCCGGCGGTCACTCTGGTGATGGTCAGTCCAGTGGTCACTCTGGTGGTGCTTAATCCACTGGTGGCCGCTCCAGTGGTCACTCTGGTGGTGGTCAGTCTGCTGGTGGCCACTCTAGTGGTCACTTAAGTGGTCACTCTAGTGGTCATTCTGTGGTGGTCACTGGTGGCGGTCACTTTAGTGGTGGTCACTCTGGTGGTCACTTTAGTGGTGGTCACTCTAGTGGTCACTTTAGTGGTGGTCAGTCCACTGGTGGTCATTGTAGTGGTCACTGCAGTGGTCACTCCATTGGTGGTCACTGCAGTGGTCACTTTAGCGGTCACTCCAGTGGTGGTCAGTCCACTGGTGGTCACTGCAGTGGTCATTCTGGTGGTGGTCACTCCAGTGGTCACTCCACTGGTGGTCACTCCGGTGGTCACTCCGGTGGTCACTCTGGTGGTGGTCAGTCCACTGGTGGTCACTGCAGTGGTCACTCCAGTGGTGGTCAGTCCACTGGTGGTCACTCCGGTGGTCACTCCGGTGGTGGTCACTCCACTGGTGGTCACTCCGGTGGTGGTCAGTCCACTGGTGGTCACTCTGGTGGTCACTCCGGTGGTGGTCAGTCCCCGCCGGACGCGGGGGGTGGTGGGAAATAAACGCCGGCCTGAGCCCGGCTACGGCCACTGGGTGGTCAGTGGTCATTCAAGGGGTCGGTGGGGTGGTCAGTGGTCACCAGGATTGGTCAAGGGGTCATCCAGGGGTGGCCAGTGGTCACTGGGGGTGGTCAAGGGGTCATCAGGGGTGGTCAGTGGTCACTGGGGGTGGTCAGTGGTCACCAGGGATGGTCAAGGGGTCATCAGGGGTGGTCAAAGGGTCATTGGGGGTGGCCAGGGGTCATCATGGTGGTCAGTGGTCATCCAGGGGGTCACTGGGGGTGGTCAGTGGTCATCCAGGGGTGGTCAAGAAGTGACCAAGGGTCACTGGGGGTGGTCAAGGGGTCATCCAGGGGTGG